CCCCAAAACCCCAAAACCCCAAAACCCCAAAACCCCGAGATATAAATAATTAATTGATTGTAAGTGAATAGATGGAATCGCAAATCTGGAGGGTGCAACAAGAATCTTGTAAAAACATTGGGGATTACAATTCTACATACATCAATTACCACCCATTAAGGTAAGTATCCTCAATTATCTGTTAAATATCAACTTTTAAGTGCTAATTTTGGAAATATAGTGCCTACGACTTTGGAGAGGATGATTTGCCACAAGAGTTTTCACATGATCTTCTTCCTGAGTACTCCCAGTATACCTATCCTGCATATCTAAACACAGAATCTGCTAGTGAGTTGGCTTGCCCAAAGTTTGTTGGAGAGTCTTCCTCCACTTCAAAGCACCCTGTATTTGCTATAAAATGGATGCAACATGGAAGAAAGCTTATCACAGGACATACAAATGGAGAAATCCATGTTTGGAATGGTGTCACACTGAATTTCGACACCGTTAATTCGCTCCATGAAGACGGTATCAAGGTCATGAAGTGGGCCAAGGATCATGAATGGCTCATAACTGCAGATAAAAAGGGTAAATCTTAATTCTTATCAATTTTAGGATGAATTCATTATTGGACAACCGATCTAAACACGATCGCAAAACATCAGGCTCATACAAGTCAAGTGAGAGACCTTGATTTCTCTTCTTCATACGGTAAATTCGCCTCTTGAAGTGATGACAGAATTGTGAAGATATTTGACTTCGGAACTTTCAAGCCAGAACTCCAATTCGAAGGCCATCGTTCAGACGTCAAGACATGTGCTTGGCATCCATATGAGTCCATGATAGTGTCTGCTGGTAGAGACTCTGAAATTAAGTTCTGGGATCCTAAATCAGGGAAGGAGGTATACACGATTCAGTCACATTATAATGCTATTAACAAGGTACGCTGGAATAAGAACGGTAATTGGCTCCTGAGTGGATCTAAAGATACCTCGATCAAGATCTACGATGTCAGAGTCATGAAAGATTTCAGAACTTTCCAGGCTCATGAAGATGAAATTAATGCACTTGAATGGCATCCAGACTGCGAAGAGCTCTTTGTCAGTGGAGGAGGTGATGGAATGGTAGTATTCTGGATGGCAAATGAAGATGAAGCTTACTATAAAATTGATAAAGCACATTACGGAGCATGCTGGGACCTTGCTTGGCACCCTATGGGAAACTGCCTAGCAACTGCAGGCAATGATACCTTCTTACAACTCTGGGCAAGACCAAAGCCTGGTGAAGGACTTGAAGACCCAAAAATTAGGCTTGATGAACGGGTTGCCGAAATGAACCAAGCAAAGCCTGCTGGTATGTATGGAGGATCTAAACTATTTGCTGATAAGAGCTACATCAGTCATAAGAAAGCCCAGTCGTTGGCTAAGAGTAAAGAGAATATCCAAAGAGGTTCTAAAAGAATGTAGCTCTTGTAATACATGAACTCTGATATCTTCAATATTTATGAACTAATTTTTGAAAATATCAATCATATATTTTAAAATGGGGTTTTGGGGTTTTGGGGTTTTGGGGTTTTGGGGTTTTGGGGTTTTGGGGTTTTGGGG